CCAGGACCTCCCCCAGCCTGGTTCTCTCCCCCTGGCCACTGAGGTGAGAGGGGGACGCTGGGCTGAGGCCTTGCCAGCTCTGACTTTCTCCCCCTGGCCACTGTGGGGGCGAGGCCATGGCACAGCAGCCCTGGCTCCCTGAGCACCGGGGAGAGGGAAGGGGGGGAGGAAGGAGGCTGCCGCATCCCCAGCTCCCAAGCACTAGGGAAAGGGGAGAGAGGAGGCAGGTGGGATGCAGAGTGGCATGATGATGTCACTGTGTCATCCCACAGGAAACATTTTTTTTTTTTTGAGAGAGAAAGAGAATATAAAGATCTTAGAAGGACGATGTCAGACCAAATCCATACTCATTTAAGTTTTGTAGAAACAAACATTTGCAAAACCTAATGGTCAAGAGATTGTGATTTTCCTTTAATTCCAATGAAAAATTGGTTTAAACATTTCTTTGCAGCTTTTGCAACCCAAGCCAAGCATTCACTGGAGTTATTAGGATCACAGATCTGGAAGGAAAGTGCATTTTTTTAAAAAAGGAATATGATTTTGCTATGTTCCCCGTAAGTACGGAACTGATGTCTTCAGAAAGAAAACCATGTCCTTCACTGATCTGACACATGTTCCAAGTTTAATTTTGGGGATTCTCTCCTGACAGTAGTGGCTAAGTAGGAGCAGGTGCAGATGTCTCATAAGTAATACCTGCCAAATTTGCTCTCTAACCAATACTGTCACATAAGCTCCAAAGTTAACAGCAAAAAGCCCATCTAACGCCTTCCCATTTCTGAGGTGCTCTGAAGGCTTTCAAAACTCATGCTCTATCATTTTCTTTGCGGATGAATGCCTTCATGAGTACAAACAGGGAATAACACACTGACCTTGACCTGTAGGACAAACTCTAAAGAATTAATGCCATCTGTGGCTGCAAAGAGGATGTCATCATGCAGAGTCTCAGAGCCATCGTGCTGATACCTGTGGGAATTAAATTCTGCACTAATTTCACATGGACAATGTGTGCCTGCATCAAGTAAAAAATCAAGCTTTGCAGCAAAATGGATGAGTGTCCCCAAAATGGAAAATTTACCCCAGTGCAAAAAGGTCTGGGTACTACTTATACCCCTTGATGTGGGTTTATACAGTGTTTAGGGCCTTCTTTGGCCCTACTACCTTGGCGCTACCCATACTAACCAACCATTCACCCTAATGCAACATGTTTTTTGACTCAGCAGTTCATTCACCATGTGGTAATGATATATTATTATTTTTAATGCAAACTTAAGACTCTGCAGAGAACATTGTAGGCCAGAGGCTCAGCTGGTGTTAATTTGTTGAGCTCCACAGGGGTTAGGCTATGCCAGCTCAAACAAGCTGACGCTCTTGCTTTCTATGTTTTCTGTAATTTAATACCAGTTGGATTGTGCAAACTAATACAAACAAAACTAAAAACAGGACCCTTTTCTTACCTGACTCTTAATGTTTGCAGGTCCTTGCAGGTGAACCTGTCACCTTCATTCATGGGAAATCCATCTAGTACCACTATTCCATGTAGCGGTTGCCTCTGAAGGTAAATGTGGAGGTTCTCCTGTTTTGTGTCCACATCTGACATCAGAATATGATTCCCTGTAATGATGCACAGTCCCCCTTCTTTTACTTTCAAGTTGTTTGTAAATACCTGAACAGAGGGGAAGAGATGAATTGCCATTTTCATTTGCACCTTTAAATTTTAGATTTAAAAGATGTAACATGATAAATATCAAAATGCCAAAGGTTTAACTTGTCTGTTATATGCTGGGAGGATGTTAGGAAATTACTACAACACGTAGCACAAATATTCTTCCCAGCTGCCAATCGGTAACAGATGGATCATTACAGCAGTGTTTTATCTGTCTAGTAAAGCAATATCCATATTCAGAGATTCCCTCCCTTCTTCTCATGCACAGACTTTCCTCCCCCAGATGTACCTCAGGAGCTTGATTGTCCACTGGAAGAATTGTAATATTAAAGCAGATCCCGTACAAAGTGCCTCCATGCTGATTGCTGACTGAAAAAATAAACTGGACATGTTGGGGCTCAGGCCCAATGTCCTGAATAGGGGGCATATAGGCAACTTTCATATAGTTCACAGCATGCTGCAAGAAGTGAGGAGGAAAAAGAAAGGGAACATGTCATTTCAAAGCTTCAGTATTAAGCAAAACTCTTTCCTCTGGGTAAATTGGTGAGGGTACATTACATTTTAAGGAGTATAATCTTTTCTTTGGGTTTGGCATATGCCTACAAAATTCCCTTCTGAATCTTTGCACCCACATTACAACTACTGGCACATATCTGAGTATCTGCACCTCTCACTATGAATTATTTAGATAGAGATGCAAAGACCCAGATCTGTGGAGGTGCAATTTACAATTACAAACATCATATGGATTATTCAGCCTGGCTGAAGATATGCCATCCCCAAAATCTTTTTATATAACCACCATCATCATAGTATAGCTTTTAATACTACATTCCTAATAATAATACTTTTACAATAATACATAATAGTTGGGATTGGTCCTGCTTTTAGCAAGGGGTTGGATTTAATGACCTCCTGAGGTCTCTTCCAACCCTATGTTTCTATTAATCTATGATTCACTATAATATCTGTAAATCTCTGAATTTTAGAACTCTCTGAATTTGTCTTTAGTAATATTTATTAATGGCACAAGCTTTTGTTTACCCAAACAACAAGAAGATGCTAGAAGAAAATTAAAATGATCAGCAAAGTTTCCCCTCCAGAAACTGATGTTATGAACTTAGTGAAGTGTTTTCAGGTTCAGGACCCCAATTAAAAGGCTATAGTGAAAACTGCTTGCAACATTCACCCATACAGTAAATTGTGATGACCAGGCAGTTTAAAAATATTAATAAGAATGGGATTTATTGAACTGCAACATAATAAAAAACCATAACACAAATTATTTAAAATTCAAACAAAAAAATGTGGATGCACAGAACTTCTCCAACGGAGTTCAGCCAGTGTGAAAGACTCTTAGAGGTGATAAGAAATCAGATTGATGAGTCTTTGCAAAGCCCAAACCATCCCCAGTTTGTAGCCATCTCTTAACCTGACATTATGCCATGTCAGGCCAAATACTTTGAGCCAAATACTTTGAGCGAAGCAAGCTCAGTGCCTTTTAGCCTCAATAGGCGCTATGCCTACTTATGTGAGTCATAGTAGACACTTCCTTAAAATCTGCATTGAGTTATCTGAATTTTGTGTTTGTTAAACTGAGATAGTGATAGCACTGTGTATGGCTGGATTCCACATCTAAGCCTCATGACAGCCTGAAAGGAAGTGACTTGAAGAAAAATGAGAGCCCCACTGGAGGTAGTTCTTAACCAGGTCCAGTTCCAGTATGGTATCATTAAGCAACAAACCTGAGTGAATGATCTCAATGCTGGAGCAGCAGGATCTTTGATTGGTTTTGGCATGCTGTCTATCATAAACAACTTCCCCGCATCGGAGGGGCTGTACAAAGACACATACACACATTATGTGCTGACTTGCAAAACTTCTAAAACAGGAGAAAAGATAATTATGCAAAATTTGTCTCCGCTGTCTACGTATGATATTTCCTAATCCTTCGACTTTGTCAAATGATGTGCATCAAACTTACAAATCTCTTATTTTAATGTTTATATACACACACAAATCCCTTCCAAAGAGACTTCATTATTTATTTGCTTTGGGAGCTTGAACATGACCCCTACAGTCTATTCTGTTTAACCTCTTGCAAACAACTTCTGCCATTGTTTTATTAAGATCACATAAGCTCTTCACATTCTTACAGTTATTAGCAAGATCTCCTTCACACCGTATGGAATAGTTTGGAGTCACTTTTTCCCCTTTTTATGATCTTGAGTATATTGACTTCACATCACATATGCATATTAAAAGGCCCACATCCCTCCTGTCTTTCTCTGCACCTGGCTTCTGAGTTCTCTTCTGCCCACCATAGGGATTCAGCTGCGGTTCTTCTGATTAGCCCACTGTCTTGTTCAACGCTGTTAACCATGTGCCTACCTGACAGGTAGTCATTCTACAAAATTGCAGACTGGTTCTCGGTTGGCTGGCTTCATACAAAAATGTGCTGATCCTCTGCCTCAGCCACACAGCAGTAGTAAGCAAAACTCCTTCCTCTGGGTAAATTGGGGAGAGTACTGGTAACTCACCAAATGGGCAAAATATCTAGAATATGTTACCCTCTGGTGAGTGTAGGTTACAAATCCTTCTCTGTGCCTGATTCATAAAGATAAGAATCTATTACAGTCTGACACTTCAGCTCAACCTGTGGTAGCTCATGTTTTTAGCTCTGGATGTCCCTGGTTCACCCCGGTGCATTAGCTAAAATGTCACTCACCACATATATATATAAGGATTCACTGTGCATAAAATTTGTGGGTGCTAGGAACCATCCAGTGGGCCACAGTGAAACACAAGGTAAACTCAATCAAAAATAGGGGGAAAAAAAGCATGTGCGTCTGTCTGTTCTCTGCCTCTCTCTCTTAACATCCTGATGTTGCCCCTTATGTCCTGTTTTAGACTTTGACCTGCATGATTATTAATATAGTAGATCCCAATCCTTCAACTAGCTCCATACAGGTAGGCCCACACATGCGCAATTGGGGACGTGTGTGTGCACCATGGCAACAGTCTTACTTTGCCATCAACATGATGCCTGCTCCTCTCCTGTGAGGAGAAATGTACATTCACTCTCACATACCTATGAGTAGAAGAGAAAAATGGAGAGGTGGTTACTATGTAGGTGAGTTCCCTCTCTTGTGCTTCCATGTCTATGAAATGGAGATGTTTCTTAGTTAGATGAGCTATCTTAGTTTCCTCAACAACTAGTTGACGGGTAACTCCAGAAGCTTCTTTTGGAAGCTGATCATCCACAGGAATAATGTGAACTATCATCACCTAAAGAATACAGAAAAATATCACAGGCTTGGTAGAGTATTGGAAACATACTAATTGCTTGTAGAACTCTCAGAATTATGCTTTAAGAAACCCTCCCCCCAGAGTTTATTTAGGTCAGATTTAAAATATTTGAACAAATCTTTTCAAAATGAAGTACATTTTCCAATTCAATTTTTCCTGCAAAATGCATACACTTGTAATATTGGTTATTCTCCCTTATTATTTGTTTGAGGAGCTTACAATTAGAGCTGGTTAAAACTCAGAATTTCTAGTGCATGGGAAATCTTGACATATCAAAAGTTGGTTCTTTCTCATTTGGAACGAAAACAAATATTTTTGAAAATTTCTGCAGACCAGAGACAGAAGACAAGATATTTTAAAAAAAGAATAGTAGTATGTATCAGCTGCCCTTAATGATTTTATATATTCTGTTATTTTATTTCATTTTTGAACTACTAAATTATCATGAAATAATGTAAAATAATACAATTAATATAACGTTAAAAAACTTTTTAAAAAACATAATTTTTAAAAATTCTGAAATGAAAATTTGGAAATAAGAAATGAAATTCCAATATGTGTTTGGTTTTGAAGCAAGAATTCAAAATGGTAATATTTTCCCAAATGTTTCAATGTAGATAAAAATAGCATTTTCTATCAAAAGCACATTTTGAGAAAAAATTCTAACCGGCTGTACTTACAATGTACACCATTTTGCTACTGTAGAATTGCACATAAGCTCTGGGGCTCAAATATTTTTTAAAGATAGGAAGGCCTTGAACCTATTTTTTAAAAAATCTGTATAGAAAAATAACTGATGGACTCATGTAAAATATACCATAAATATTCAGGAAGGCAAATTTTAATTCTATAAATCTTGGCAGTGTGCCTCTAAAATAAAAAAAATACATTAAATTCAGTCAGATCAATCCAGATGTGGTACAAATGGGTGCAGATCTATTGACTTAAAAGGGGCTACTGCCAGTTAGTACTAACTGAGAATCTAACCCTTAGAATGAATTTGACCTGTCAACACCTGATACAATCTCCATTAATGGCTTTGAGAACTGGCAGTATTTTTCTATCAGACAAAAATTAAAGAAAATTGAGTTACTGAGTTATAAACAAGGGGAGAATTTGGTCTGGAGAATTTTATTATTGGTAAAGGATCCAGCTTGGTTTTCACATCCTATACTGAACTTTAAGACCGACTATTAGAAAGAAAAAAAAATCACAATGTTTTCAACAATCCATTATAGGAAGGTATGCTGGTGTCCTGATATTTACTCCACATGCTGCAATGAATCCTACCTGTGGCTCTGAGAGATTGGGAGGGTCATGGCTATCACACAGGACAAATTCAAGGGAATCCTCAAATATTTCTCCTCCTAAGTGACGGTAATAAATTAGTCCATTAAACAGATCTCTCTGAAGAAAGCCAGTAACAGGATAGCCTGTTGAATCAAAGAATAAAAGAAAACACATTTCATAGAACTATTTATAATTTTATTCATTGATAAAACTTATTCTTATCTCAATCCTCATAAGGGAGAGACCAATTATACAGTTTCTCTTCTTGATTGAAAACTCCTTAATAAAAACTTTGATATAACTTCATAATTCTTCAATATGTAAGATAATACTAATACAACGTAAGAGCATCCTTACTGATGGATCTGAACCCCACTGATGAGGAGGGAAAGGTGAATTTATACAAACAAAAAGTATCTAAAAATCATCTTGCTGTGGATTTCTTAGGTTACCTATAAGGGTCTGTCCTGGTTTCTTCATGATTTCTCCAGCCTGTGGTAGTTTGGTAATATTAAAGAATATGTAGTCATCACTGGAGTCCATGTCAGAAGCTTGAAGCATAGAGCCTTGGATCAGAACCGTCTGCCCTTCATATAGTTCAACTCCAATGTTGCTGATGAGGAAAGGCGGGCTGTCATCTTTAGGCAGGATATTGATTGGAAACTTATGGCGAATACTGTGGTGGCCATCAAAGATCCTAAATACCACAAAATCCTTTGTAGAGTCACTGTCATCATGGTGGTAGCGAACAACCCCAGCCTTAAGGTCAGAGACCATGAACATGAATCCTTTCCCTCCTGTCAAAACAAGGAAAAAAGATGCTTCAAAGATATGTAGTTCAGTCTTTAAAATATTAATATTAAAATATTAACATGGGCCAACACAGGCAATAAGCTATATATTTTTCGAACAGTTATATAACTTTCATGGTAAACAAAACTCCCCACAATATGAATTGTCGTATAGACAAGTGATGAGTAACCTAGACTAGTGCTAGTGAGTGGGCTGAATGAATCATAAAATACTAGAACTGGAAGGGACTTCGAGAGATCATCAAGTCCAGTCCCCTGTCCTCACGGCAGGACCAAGCACTGTCTAGATCATCCCTGATAGATGTCTGTCTAACCTGCTCTTAAATATCTCCAGGGGTGGAGATTCTACAGCCTCCCTAAGCAATTTATTGCAGTGTTTAACCACCCTGACAGTTAGGAAGTTTTTCCTAAGGTACAAACCTCCCTTGCTGCAGTTTAAGCCCATTGCTTCTTATCCTATCATCAGAGGCCAAGGAGAACAATTTTTCTCCCTCGACCTTGTAACACCTTTTTAGATACTTGAAAACTGCTATCATGTTCCCTCACAGTCTTCTGTTTTCCAAACTAAACAAGCCCAATTATTTCAGTCTTTCCTTATAGCTCATGTTTTCTAGGCCTTTAATCATTTTTGTTGCTCTTCTCTGGACCGTCTCCATTATTTCCACATCTTTCTTGAAATGTGATGGCCAGAACGGGACACAATACTCCAAATGAGGCCTAATCAGTGAAGAGTAGAGCAGAAGAATCACTTTTTATGTCTTGCTCACAACACTCCTGTTAATGCATCCCACAATCATATCTGCTTTTTTTACAACCGTGTCACACTGTTGACTCATATTTAGCTTGTGGTCCACTATGACCCCTAGATCCCTTACTGCAGTACTCCTTCCTAGACAGTCTCTTCCCATTCTATATGAGTAACCCTCTTTCATCTCAGTGGGCCTCCTCCTGTCATACCTGGAATAGGGTAGTTTTGCTAACTGCGCTTACATGCTTAGAATTTGTGGGGTGTGCCAATTAAATTACACTTCTTTGATTGTAGGCAGAGGGAGTGCACAGCTTTTACAGTCAATGTTGTATACAATCAGCACACACCTCACTTCACATGCCCTTGCTTTACATGCATGGCACTTTAGTAATACTGGTATGAAAAAAATGATATGGACAGAAACTATAATCTGGTAACCCTATGCATAAGCAATGATAAACAAAATGTGTTGCATACTGCACATAGAACCCTAATGGGCTGCCAGCTGTCCAACATGGGTATAGATCATTTGTTGACTTCAGTGTTTCTTAAAGCATCACTCAAAATTAATGTCAAGGCCAAAGAATCTATGTTCTGTGATTACCGATCAACATTTTATGGTAAGCCAAAAGTAACACAGAACAGAAGATTAGAGCTGGAATAGTGCTCAAGAGGTCATTTTGCCCAACTCCCTCCTCAAACCAGGACCAACACCAGCTAAATCATTCCAGCCAGGGATGTGTCAAGCCTGGCCTTAAAAACCTCTAAGGATGGAGATTCCACCACCTCCCTAAACAACCCATTCCAGTGCTTCACCACCCTCATAGTGAAATAATGTTTCCTATTGTCCAACCTGCAACGTGAAACTCATTGCTTCTTGTTCTATCATCTGCCACCACTGTGAATAACCTGGCTCCATCCACTTTGGGATACACCCTCCTTCAGATACTTGAAGGCTGCAATCTAATTCTCCTTCATTCTGCTCTTCTGCAGACTAAATAATTCCAGTTCTCTCTGCCTCACCTTATAAGTCTTGTACCTCAGCCCTCTAATCATTTTCAATAATCACGTCCACAATAATTAATTATAATTATTATTTATTTGGAACCTAGATATTTCAAACAGGGAAAAGGCCTCCATTGTACTTAGCACTATATGCTCAGACACAGCTGTTCATTTAAGTAAAATGCCTTGAAAGTCAAATTCTGACTCTAGAGCAGGTTCTCCACAGGTACCGAATTAGCCTCCTCCTCCCAGGATATGGAGCACCAGCACAGCCATTCACAGCTGCAAAAGTACTTCTGGTCTTGCAATTCCGTATTGGAGAAGGCTGTCCACCACAGCTGTGAATCCAATAAGTGTACAGTCATTGGATCCACCGAAAGCTTCTTGTATGGTTGTACAGAGAGAGCTGCCTACAGCACTGCTTTACAGTGCACACAAGGGGCAAAATCCCTTTACAGAGTCTCTCTCTCAACAGCTATCCCACCTATTATGCCAAAGGACTATACCAGTTCCCTGGCTTCAGAAGCCTTTCTTTGCTCCATAAACAGCCCCTATGAGTTTCCTATTTTCTTTTAATATGTACTTTATTGTCTTATGCATATGTATTTGGAAATCATTTATATCTGTGCACATATGCAAGTTCAACAACATTTTTAAAAAGACTTTAATGATTTTTCTTTTATTTGAACAATAGGGATGAATTTCTTTTCTTTAAATATTTTCCCAAACAGAACAGCATTGTGCGAGTGCATAAATAGCAAAATGTACAACTGACAATCACAATTAAAGTGAAATGGAGCAGTCTCACTTCATTGCCAAGCCAAATAAAATGTAAAAACCATTATAAATAGCAACACTGCATAGTTAGAGAAAAATCACTTTGAAAGAATGTGAAAGATCTGCTTTATAATCAAAGTTGTTACAATAATAGAGGGAAGGATTTTTAAGTGTATGATTTTTATATTGATAATGTCTCTTTTGGCTCCAAAGAAACTACATTAACAGCTTTTTGGAACCTTACTCTGATTGTATGTATCTATGGAGCTACATTAATGTGAAAAGGTGTAAATGAGATAAAGAATTAGGCCCATAAGTCTTTAAAGTAATAAAACTATTCTTCTGCTACAAATAATGTTTAAGGAATGTTGTATTGTTATTAAGCAACATTCACTGCATGAAAGATTAGCACCCTAAAAAGCCACGTTTGGACTTGATTTACAGCAAAACTGTAAAGGAGTTTAGACAAAAAATTTCATCTACATTAGATAAACTCTGGATTCTAAATGATATATAGTTATGTAGGAGCTGTCCTTAGCAAATGCCACTGTTCTTTAGTTTCATCTTTAGTACAAAAGTGGCAAAAGAAAATAATTACATTTTAACTAGGTCACATTTACTCAGGTTGAGTGACTAGTTTTATTGAGATATCATTTAGTTGCTTAAATTCCCCCATAGGCATGGGAAGTAGCAATGCAGGGAGTGCTACACCATCACTCAAATTTTGTGCCCCACACTGGGGTCCTAGCCACCACCTCAGCTCCTTGCCACTGGTCCTGTAGGCTCTGCTGTCAGCCCTGGGGTCCCAGCTACCAGGGGCGTTGCTGCTACCAAGGTTCTTGGCAGCTGCAGCCCCTGGGACCTCATTTGTTAGCCCTGCATCCTGGGCTCTGCCTGTGGTTCGTGGCTGGGTTGTTGAGGGGTGCAAATGGTGTAAGGCGGAAGAGTGCAGCTCAATACCCTCACTCTAAAAATTGTTCCAGCATCACTGAATTCACCTCTTTTTACATAATTGTTTTAAAATACCAACATCTTAGTACCTGCCTCTATATTAGTATTATTATTATTCAATAGCTGTAGAAGTGGCCAGTCAGCAGAGGGAGCAAAACAGTTAAGTAACAAAAACGTCTCTTAAAATAGTGTTAGTACAACAGAATAGTGATAGAAATGTAGCCGTGTTAGTCTGGTGTAGCTGAAACAAAATACAGGACTATGTAGCACTTTAAAGACTAACAAACCATCTTGTTAGTCTTTAAAGTGCTACATAGTCCTGTATTTTGTTTCAGTACAACAGAAGACATCATTGAGTGTGCTTTTGACAAATAGGGACAAAATAAATCCATGCACAGCAGTACCGCATTTTTACTCCCTCAGGGTATGTCTACACTACAAAGTTAATTCGAACTAACGGACGTTAGTTCGAATTAACTTTGATAGGCGCTACACTAGCGCTCCGCTAGTTCGAACTTAATTCGAACTAGCGGAGCGCTTAGTTCGAACTAGGTAAACCTCATTCTACGAGGAGTAAGCCTAGTTCGAACTTACTAGTT